GGCAGATTAATTTAAATATATATATTTTTAATTGATCCTAATTGGCAGAACTACAAATTGAAATCTTAAACTAGCTGACATTTTAAGTGTCAAATTTTATAGCCTATTCTCACTAAAAATCATTGAACTTTTTGTCAAAGATTTAGCTTAGAATGTGATTACTTCTTAATTGCACATCTTTCGTTAGAATTAGAGGCATTTATAATTTTATTTTATGAACAGAACTATAATTTAGATTATTAAAAAAGGAAACTATGTAGTTAATTTGTTTATGGATAGATTTTGATAAAATTTGGCAAACTTATTTACTTTATCCTATACTATTGACGTATGCTCAAAAAAACTTTTTACCTTCTCCATGGCTGCAAACCTAACCTTGTTAAATCTAATCTTCATTCAATTTTTATCTTGTATATTTTTTTATATTATCAGCAAGTTAGGTTAGCTTATGACAGTTTAATTTTATAATAGAATGCTCTCATTTTGTCCGTAGTAAACCTTAATTCAATTTTTTCACAATCAGCAAGTTTGGTTAATTTGGTTAGGTTACGACATTTTAATTTTATAATAGAATGCTCTCATTTCGTCCGTATCACAAAAAGCCTTTACCTTGTGACAAACGACAACTGCAATCGCATCGATAGTAAATGATGTTGTGATTCGATAGAGTAGCGAACAATTAACATTAGTCGCTAAATCGGTGGCGTTTTTAGACAAAAAAGTGCTCACCGAGGAAAAAGGGTTGGAGACCCCTTGTCTAACATATTATATTTTATCTATAGCTGTCTTAGAAAATAACTCTGTTGAACCTCTTTTACAGGAACAATAGAAAACTCAAGAAGGCCATTTGGGAGATGAAGAAGACCAGAATTATTTTTTTTGTAAATTGTACATAGGCTATCTTTTTTATATTTGTGTTTAAATAATTTTTAATTAAACTTACTTTATCATACAAACAAAGTTTTTTCTTTAAAATGTTTTCCTTGAATGCAATTTTGTTTTAAACAAATATGTTTTGTGATACTTTTGTTAATGTTTTGTCAAATAAGAAATATATATATATATATATTTACATTTTTGGGTCACCCAAGAACTTTAACAAACTACCTAGAACTTCAGAATAATAAGTCAAATCAAGGTAAGAACAGTAAAGAAGTCTGAACTGATATTATTTTAATCGCCATGAAATTTGAAATGTGAAAAAATGCAACCTAATTCTTCTAAACATATTTTACCAATAAATGTATGAGACATTTATTTGATATTCAATTTAATATTTATTAAATGTCAAATTAAGTGAGGTTGAACCTAAATTGACCATTTATTTGATATCAAATGAATGTTCGCGAATATTAATTTAATATTCGAATGTCAAAAATGTTATATCAATATTTATCACCATCATATTTAAAATGTGAATGTAAATTCAATCATATTCTCTTTATTATATTTTACCAATAAATTTATCAATGTCAAATTTGATATTTATTTTATATTCAATTTGAATATTTATTTGATGTAAAATTGAGTGACGTTTGAACCTAAATTGAACGTTTATTTGATATCAAACGAATGTTCGTGAATATCAATATGATATTCAAATGTCAAAAATTTGATAGCTATTTGATATCAAATAAATATTCGGTGCTATGTGGGATAATAATCAGTATAAATATGATTGGGGCAGTCCCCTAAATTACGAAGTTATATGGCAAAATCTATATGGTTGATAAGAATTTGCGTCAGGAAAAAGTGCACAATGTTGACCCTAAGGGGACTGCCTCAATCATACTCATACTGATTATTCTACACATTGTATATTACCATTAGAATACATCAAAGTTGATGTGATGGACTTAGGAAAAAGATTGTGCACTTTTTCCTTAAGCAAGTTCCTATCAACCATATACATTTTGCCATATAACTTGGTAATTTAGGGGACTGCCTCAATCATACTCATACTGATTATTCTACACATTGTATATTACCATTAGAATAGCTCAAAATTGATGTGATGGGCTTAGGAAAAAACTTATGCACTTTTTTATGTTCGGAGTTTTAATTGATTGCGTTATGTTAAGCCATAGCTACGTATAATGTACAGTACGGTCTCAAATATGCCTTTTAAAATACTCCTATTAATTAGTTTTAACGTGTATACACGTTTTATCAAGGTATAATTGACATTATATAAATGTAAAAACATCATTTCACACCGTATTGTCATTGAATTGCCGATATCCCGGCAAAACACGTTTGTGGCGTCCGCAGGCGTACCAACCCATATCTATTACAATCCGAAAAAGCGCCGATGAAAAGAGCCGCAAACTTCACGACGGGGACGGTTAGACCTGACTGAAGCGAGCAGCTGATGCCATTCCCACAATGCAACATTCTCCTCAATTATAAGCTATGCCCCAAAATATAACGTTTTAGAGAAATTGTGGCATAGCTTATAATTTTTCGTGAAAGTGTGGCATAGCTTATAACTGATTATAAGCTATGCCACATTTTCAACATTATAAGCTATGGAACAAATTCACGATTATAAGCTATGACATTATAAGTTATGAGACCCCACGGTCCCACGGGCTAAGGGCAAGCCTCTTCCAACACCCTTCTGGAAAGTACATCCCAGAGCTGTCCCTCCATCTCTCTATAGGGAAGATAAAAAAAACAGGGTAGGGGGTGTATTTATGTAAAATAGACATCGCATTTATAGATAAGGTAAACGCACCAGAAGCTGACAGTATAAGAAACTATACGCACTTAATAATCCGTGGTTTTGAATAAATAGGAACTAAAGAGATATTACGGATTTTATGTGATTCTAAATTTAGTGTAGTTTTCAAATTTGTCATACAAAAAGGGGTTTTTAAATATATTTTATAACATTTTTAAACTTAATTCAACCTTTGTACGTGTTCCAGTGGCTGACAGTGAAAAAAGTGCTTGTACCAGTAGCTGACAGTCAGTTGTCCCAGTAGTTGACACTGGAACTATACATGTACTAGCTGCTAAACCTAAGGGTTTTATAATTTATAAGACGAATAAAATCTAACTTAATAATTAAATTATAAAATCATGTAAAACGTTATTAAGAAAATTTATTTTACATATTTTAAAATAAAAAATATTTACATTAAAAAATATATATATTTTTTATTTATATTAAAAACATATATACTTTTTTTTAGATAATTTGGCTTATTAATTAAAAAATTAAAATCATTTTATAAAAATGTGAGATCACATAAATTATAAATAGCATGCATATTTCGATGGGTAAAACCAATTTAATATTGTGCAAGTAGCAAATATCCCCTGTCAGCTATTGGAACTTGTATGGCTTTTGTGTACCAAAGCCTGACATTGATATAATTTTTAATCCAAAACCCCTAACACCCCAATTTTATCATGAAATTGTCAACAAAGGTATAATTGATAAAAATAATGAGCCTAATCATTAATACTATTTAAGAAATTTAGCGAAATGACTAAAAACCAAACTTACCTTCTTAACAATTTCATTAAGGGAATCGACTAAATGTGATGTGTACAGTGTTGCCACCGCGTTGCTGCGATTTTACCCTAAAGGCGGGCTAAAATTACCCTAAATTACCCTAAATCTACTTTGAGTTACCCTAAAAATTACCCTAAATGTTAATATTTGTGTTTAATGCTATAAAGCATTGTTAAAATCATATAAATCCTACATAAGGTGGTTAATTATACTAAATGAAGTTCCAATATCAATCAATTTACGTAAAATTATACTCGATTCTAAAAAACCACCCGGAAGAAGAACAAAATGTTGATATTGATCAGCTCTATCGACTATCGTATAACGAAAAATATCGAATCAAGAACTATCGTATTTTTTTACTGTATCGACCCATTACTACTGTTTTTGGACAATCATATCTTTAAAATACAGTACGGTACCACCAAAGCTTTAATCTATACATAGTACGGTAGTAATTTCTTGACACAATTTGTAAAATAATCCAGTTTAATTCAATTCAGCCACATAATTAAATATCAAACCCAGTAATGAATAATATTTCATATTTTATTAGGCCTATAACGTGTTATAGAATCGAATACATTCTAAAACAGATAGTTCCCAACTATTGATAAGATCGATTAGGATAACTTATTATAAAAAATTCATCATAGCAATAGATTTAAACCGATTTGAATCGAATATGATGGTTTGGCCATAGTATTTAATGAACGTTTTTTGCCAAATTTTGAAGTTTTTTCATTTTTTTAGTAAAATTTCCATTGTTATGCTAACTTTTAGTTTTACCCTAAAATTACCCTAAATCTACCATTACCCTAAACTTTACCCTAAGACCAGTAAATTACCCTAAAAAAGGGTAATTACCCTAAAAGTGGCAACACTGGATGTGTACAGACAGGGTCGCTTTCAAACCACCACCATTCAGTGAGTATGGGCTAAATTTCACTGATTTTTTTGTAAACAAATCAAGAATAAACATATGTTCTTCTAACAATGCAATCATGTGTAAATATGTTTAAGAGACCACATTATAATGTAAAGAAACTCAAACTGTCAGCTTCTGGAGCACTGTCAGCTACTGGTGCATTTACCTTAACTGTAGTAGTCATGTTTACATTTAAATAGAACACATTGACATGAGCTACCAACGAATTGCACTCCAGTCAAAATTATCTTATCTTCCTTCCCAATTTATCGATCGTCTGATATCTCATGTGTATTGAGAGATTTGATAGCCTACAGAAATTTATCCTTTTAGTTTGGCTTGAGAAAAGTCGATACATTACGAAAAGAACTATGATATACATGAAAACTAGTGCTTGAGCCTGTGGTGTAATAAACAAAAAAAAGCAAACCCTGTCAGAAGCTGTAATCAACGGCTTCACATTAGATTCAACATTCGTAACACCGATACCTGTATGCATGCAATTGATGTGCGATCTTACTGGCTATTTTTAAAACGAAAAATGTCAACTGCACTATTTCTGCTAGTTTCGTATTATTGTTGAAAATTTTAATTTTTAAACAGTGGTTGTTTGTTTAGTTGTTGTCACTTGGCCTTTCACAATGTAGCTATCCTACTCACGAAATTATTTATGTTTTTAAATTTTTACTGTAGAATTTCAAAGTAGCACTAAGTTACTTCTTATGTTTGTTTTGACACATGTATTCACCTAGAAGATCTAAGTAGTGGATTTTAGTTTAAATTACTGTGTATAAACAAATTAAATAATGAAAGTTGAAACCATCTAACTTTAGGCCATAACTCATATAAATCAAAGCTAGGATTAGAAAAGTATAATGGATGAGAAACGACACAAAGTAAAACATGCTAGCAATTTGGTAAGTTAACTAGGCTTAGGCCTATTGTGTGACATGATCTTTTATTTGTTAGGCTAATTTGTAAGCTAGGCTAGTCCACGTTGGCTATAACTTAACAAGGCTTTAAATAAAGGACATCTAGCAATACTCAGGTAAGGTTTACCTAACCTAACTAACCAAACGATATATCAAATGAAACAATTGAATAATCCATATTTTCATTCGGTTGTTTGTGCCAACAGATACGGAAGTCTATTACCCATTTTTCTAATGATGCATATTTTTCCAATAAATCTCGTCCTTATCATAAAAACTCAACGTCTAAGTTAACTTAGCGCTTAGGCCTACCTAATTTCTTATGGGCTACAACAAGTTTGTTGATGTATACTTTAAATTTTTGTAGTTCCATCTCACAGATTCACAATGGCAGGGTATTGAAAACCTTTATTGAAGAGTGGGGATAACATTTTAGGGTCTTGTGTTGTAGCTGTGCTTAACTTAAGTGTATTCCCTTTTAAAACATTCTCCTTCATGTTCTTTTAGGAGGATGAGTAACTTTTGTCATAAACGTATTGACTGTAGATGGTACCTAAGTATATGTGCTGATTCTTGAAAATAGGTCGTCGATGCGCAGTGTATTCATAGGATGTTTGAATTCTGAGTGCCTTTTTTTGGAGCAGCAGTACATCGTGGGCTGCAGGAGTGTGTCCCCACAATTCCAGTCCATAATACGTTATGAGGTTGTTGAAGAGTGTGTGATAAACAGTTATAGGTAGGGCTGGGTTATGATTGACAGAAGTTTTCTTAAAAGGTACAAGACTCTGGAGAGTTTTAACTCACTAACTAACTACACTTAGTGTCAATCCAAAAACCAAGCAGCTTTACAGGTTCATCCCTCCTCCTCTTTAGTTTTGAGGGTTCACACTAAAGATTATGTTTTGTCCTCATTTAGACACAATCTTTGGTGTGATCCTTCAAAACTAGAGAGGAGGAGGATGAACCATTAAAGCTGTTCGGTATCATTAATCCATGGCCCTAAAAGACAAGGAATTGGATAGGTTAAGAACAATCTCAGAGGATATCTAATTAATTGATTGTCTATTTTTCAGTTGGATAGTTATATAAAAAGTAAAGCTCTGGACACTGCTGGAAGGTCAGACGACTCAACAGAAAATCCCTATAACACAACTTTACTGCCCAAGGACAAGAATTTTGAGGTAGGCTAACTTATATTTGAAAATTTAAAACTAGCCTAATGTCAAATGCAAAATTTTTAGATTTTTCTTAAAATAAAAACATTTCACTAGGCCTCTATCCCTTCAGTGCCAAACTAGCCTTAACTTAAGTGGTAGCGCATAAGTTACCAGTAACTAGTAACGGTTCTTTGTAATTTCTGTCTCTATTATGACTACTGTACGGTACTAGGCTATGTATTTGCTTAGAGCAATTTCTTTATGAAATTATTCAATCAACAATCTTATGTGACTTTTGTTTAGTCAAAAATTACTTATAAGATTTTTATTTTTAATCAAGGACACAGACAGAAATGTGCTCAAGATGGATAGTTCAACACTTAAGATAAAAACTGATCAATTTGATTCTCTCAGCAAGAAAATAAAACGCCTTCAAGATGAACTTTCAGGTAAATTAGAAATTTTTTTTATTTATACCGGTAAGGCTACCTATATAAATTAATCAATTCCTAACCAGAGTCATAGAGGTTTACACAGACGGCAAATATTTTATACAGATTGTTAGTTACTATTGGGTATACTTTAACTACATTATTCTTGTTATAGCCTAAATATTCACCGGGTTGGAGTCTGAATTTACCCTGGGTGACCTTGAGCGCTTGTAACAATACCTTTTCAAATAATCAAATGTTTTTAAAAGTATGGTGATGAACTGATCAGAGTCTTGCTGTCTATATCTCTTGTCTCGCTTCAGTGTTTTGCTTAAAATGGTTGAAGGTGTACAGTGGACTCCCGTCTTATCTGGACACCTTTTAACCGGACATCGGTTCAACCGGACTACACTCGGCGGAAATGCCATCTCTTTACCCGGACAATTTTTATCAGCACATCGGTTTAACCGGACTGGATCGGCAGGAAATGGGCGGTACTGAAACGACAGTTCTCGTAGGAAAGATTAGAGACCAGTGATCACATGTCTTAATGTAATAATCATTATCGGCTTATACAGTGTGCATTTACATGGTTTGTTTTACCGAGTTTTGGGAGACGTCGGTTTAACCGGAAAACCCGTTAAACTGGGACTGGCCTCGGTCCTGAAGTTGGTGAATATTTTTACATATTTTATTGAAATCCATAGTGTTTGCTGCATGTAGAGAATGATGTTTATTCATGTTTCAAGAAACAACTTATTTTAAACGTTAAGAAATTTTATTTACACTACTTGAGATATCGAGAAAAATGAAACAAATTATTTATTGACTCTGCACACAAGTAGGCTACACATTACATCTTAGCCTACCTAAACTTAACATTTGTAGCAATAGTAAAATAACATTTTTCTGTTACTCCTACGAACAACGTCAAAGTAAATTCGGTGTAATCACAAGACGATGAGCAGCTTGTGTTTTCATTGATTTTAGGCCTAGATAGAAAATCACAGTCAATTGTACTTTGACCAATGAAAAATGTTAAATGAAATTCAATATTATATCACACTCGTACTCTTACTCCCATGGCCATGGATACCCTAGGTGGTATTTGGCTTCGCCAACAAGTTGCCTCATCTCTCCCTGTTCTCTGAATTTTCTTTCCTTGCTCTCAATTTTGCACATCTTTCTCCACCTTGTCCTTCTATCGATTCTTGGGTCTTTTTCCTGCTGGGTTTTGCCTCCAAACTTCTTTAAGCTTAATTAGTATTGTGACTTTGAATTAGAGTTAATTATTGCACGCATTTGAACAAACTCTTTTAATGGAATATTTGTAAACTGTAAATTGTAAAAGGTAAACATTGAACTACATTGTTTCATAATTAATAACAACAGCTGATCATAGAAAAGAAAGTATAAAGGATACTACAATAATTAGTCTGCCATCTTCCCTCTTAAATACATGGCCAGCCACCTTAGTCTTCTGTTCTTTATTTGCTTCTCCTACTATGTATGGGGAATGGTACATGTCTCTTATTTCTTGGTTGTGCTTAATTCTCCCCCTCTCTAACAGATCCAAATATTTTTCTCAAAATTCTGTTTTCAATTAAACCAACTTCTTTTCTGTTTGTTTGTCTATAAACTATGTCTCTGCTTTATAAAGCAGGATTGGCCTTATGATAGTCTTGTATACTCTTAATTTTGTTTTATGTGACAGTAATTTTGATTTAAAAATGTTGTTTTTAATATTAAATTCTTTGAAAACATTATATTTAACCCTACGTTAAAAATTATATTTAACATTCCTAACTTACTTAAATTTGAACTTTCAGAGAAAAGTGAACGCATTACTGCCCTAGAAATTGAAAATAAAATGCTGCGTTCAGGCAGTGGCGACTGCGTAGGAACAACTCCCAGGGATGGGGATAAAGTTATGGTGAGTTGAGCTTCACAGTTCTAATTAAAAGAAAACTGCTTTCAAATTCAATCAAATCCAATCCTTTATTGGTTGTTAGGCATAACAATCATGCAATAGACTTGGTCAATATAAAGAACTGTATCGCAACAAAGGGTTACACAGAAACCCTGTGAAGACTTAGTTCTTTACAAGTTTCATACTAATCAATAGTCCCTACGTTATTTGCTATACTCTCATTTTGTTTCTGAGTGTAAAGAACAACACAAACAAAGACAAAGACTATGTGATTCTTAAATTTAGTTTATCTAGCCAAAATTTTATCTACCTTATAACACAGTGTTTTATAAGAGACCACTATACTTCAGGAAATATAATAGGTGAATTCAGAAGTAAGAAGATTTTGAATTAGAGTCGAGAAAAAAATCAATATCTACCTTTAGTTTTCTTCAGGCAATCACTGATCAGTATCTTGCTAGACACAGTTTTGGAAACTGACTTATCTGATATCTAATGAGATGATTCAAAATATGTGTTCTTGACAGAGACATGGAAACGATGTAGCCTATTAGCTTATAATGGGAAATTATCATAAATGGGATTTATTACAGATCCTACTTAAAATACTTATTTCATTATAAACAATCGGTTTAAGTTGTAATGAGCTATATTTTGTTGATTTGAAGTTATTTTGGTTTTAGATCAAAGATCTGCATGGGATGGTGGATGCGAGAGATACTTTCATACAGCAGCTGTCAGATAGTCTGCAGAAACGATCAGAGGTAAGCTCTCGTTTATAAGATCTTGAAATAAAATGTGTTATAGTTTAAATAACTCTCAACATTGCTCACCTTAAATAAACATTCTATGTCAAACACTTTTTTATAATATAATGGATTTAAAGATGCTTTGCAATAGGTAAAATGAAACATTCTGCAGCTACCACTACCACTTTTTTTTATACGTGAATGAATGGTTTAAATACCTTTACTGTCAAAGCGATCCTTGTAGTCTTAGTAGGCTACTGCAGTTTCGGTACTTTCATGGTATCTTCTTCAGGCTAGGATATTATTTTCATTCGTTTTCACAAACACGTCATTTTTAATAAAATTTGTGAAAACGAATGAAAATGATATCCTAGCCTGAAGAAGATACCATGAAAGTATCGAAACTGCAGTAGCCTACTAAGACTACAAGGATCGCTTTGACAGTAAAGGTATTTAAACCATTCATTCACTTATTGAAAAAAGCGGTTCAGTGGCTGTCAACATGAAGTTTTTTGTATATCCTGCAAAAAGTAAAACATACTATTTCTATCCTGCCCATTGTAGAATGAGAGGTAAGGTGGCTAAAATGTTTAACCTAAAATCTCAATTTTTGTTTAACCCTCCGAGTGTCCATAGTTTAGGCCTTAATGTCCGCCTATTTTTGGCGCATTTGCAAGGTTTTATTAAAACGGATCTGAGAAGCTTAAAACAATGTTAATTCTACTGTTCTATATACCATTTTGTTTGGAAAATCATGGGCTTCAATATTATACATAAAACATAAAGAACATTTGTTTAAAAAAAAAATTTTAGGTAAAAAAAAATATTTTGGAAAATAAAAAAAAAAAAATAAGTTCGCGCTCAATGAAATTGTATAAATTATAGGCCTATAAATATTTGAAAATAGCCACTTTGTTCTAAATTTTATGAGGATTACAAATATATAATAATATAAGGAAGTAGATTTGCAAATAAATAAGTTATGGGCAAAAAACAGATTTCAGTACATAGCGTTTAGCTAAGAATGCATAGCCTAACCATAGCTAGGAATCTGGCTGATAATTTACATCAATATCACTACCTACTTCTTCAGGATCATCAACCAGCACTTCAAAACCACTTAAATCTTCTTATAATGCACCACGTATATCACTACTTTTGATTTTTAACACTAAAACAATATAATAAATAGGTTACATACCTTATAAATCCGACAAACAGCTCATTTTAATTGAAGGTCGTTTACATGTTTCGGCTTGTATCGGCCATTGTCAAAACGTTGCAGTTGGATGGTGAAATCCTTGTCATTGTTTTCTACTAAAAGTACATACACAAACACATACACACGGACGGGACGAAAACATTACGAAAAACGAATAAAACTTTAAATAGGCCTATTAAATACACGGGCAGGACGCACGCACACCGTTGTCAAGGTCAGGATGCAGACTGGACTAGTTGTGTCGGTGTTGTCTTATCAGCTGATGTGGACTGCTGACCAATGGGCGTCGAACTCTGCCTTTGTTTTAATATGCTATTGAAAATGTGATGGGATTTGAATTTAAGTTTTTCATTCAGAATTACGCTCTCAAAATTGTTGTTCTCATTAACCTGTGCCTTATAAATTTCGAATTCTTCGAGAGTGTTAAGTCTGCTTCCCTTTTGGCAAATATGTAGGATTTCAAGGCCTTTACTAATATCGTTCATATCATGGTTTTTATCGACCAAATGCTGAGCAAACGATGATTTTTGTTTTGTATTACGAGGATCTGGTCTATGCTCCTTGTATCTAGTATTGAAATCTCTACCTGTCTGCCCAGTATACGTGCTAGGACAACTGGCACAAGTTAATTTATATACCCCACATTTGTCATATTTATCACCACATTTGGTAGAATTGTTTAAAATATTTACGGAACGATTAGTTGTTCTGAAGGATAGATTTATACCATGTTTTTTCAATTGTTTGGATAGGCCGTTATGCAGAATGTTACTGTATTCAACACAAACATAATGGGTTATTAACTAAAACAATGATAAACGTAATAAAACACATCAGTCATCGGTCCGAGGGTAACCTAGCTGTTTACAAATACGCACACGTCAGCTGTCTGCTACAATTACGATCGGCTCGGAGAACATAAAGCGCTTAGAGACAGACCTCTGGAGAAAGCTTAGAATATAACAAAAAGAACGATACCAAACTCGATCCAGTTCAATCCGATTCAGTCAGTAATAGAGCCTTCGCCGTAAACGATGTTCGTGCGTCAAAAAATCGACGCGTGACACTACTCAAAGTGTGTTGTGCGTCGATTTTTCGACGAGTGACGCTCGGAGGGTTAAGGTTGTTTTTAGATTGCTGGGTTCTCAGTAAAACCAATTCTGAATATCGTTACCATTTGCCAATTGGATAATTGTTTATGCTATAACACTGTAAACAACTAATAATGTAATTTTATCTTAGGAGCTTCAAAATTCAGTTCTAAAAGAGAAAGAATTGACAGAGGAAATACACAAACTCCAGCTGCAAGTAAATGTGTTAACAAAGCAGAGTGAAAAGAATCTGTCAGAAGCTTATAGTGAAACTGTTGAGTACAAAGCTAAGGTAAATTATGTTGTTGTATGTTTTAAGCTCTAGTCCTACCAATCAACCACCAACCAGCCAACCAACCATCAACCAATTGCTATATCTTAGTCATGGCTGATAAATGTAATTTGTTTTGAAAAGACTCTTACCACCTAGATTTTCAGTGTGGATTGTCCTGGTGAACACAATTCCCTAACAATAATCAAAATGAAATAATCACAAAATTTCTAACATTTAAGAAATTTCTTTATTGTTTTCTTGGACTTTATTTGAATTGAATAGTAGCCTATTTGACCATATTCCACGACATGTTTTACTTGCTTTTAAAAATTTGATAGACTATTTCTTCATCATCAGGTAAAATATGTAATGGCTCTAAGTGTAGGTTAATTGAAATAAAATAATTGTTTTGAATTTAAATACATTTATAGTGTTTTTTTTCAGGTTGAATTAATGTCCAGTCAAATCCAAGAATATTCTGAACTTTTGCAATCAATGAGAGCTACTTTAGACAATAACAATAAAGATATTTCAGCTAAAAAAGAAGAACTTCATGCAAAGGAGAAAAAATTGGAGAAATATAAAAGTGATGCTTCTGAAGATATTAAAAAACTCATGAGGCAGGTTGAAACCTTAAACTCCGACCTTTCCGAGAAGGAAAAAGAGCTAATTAAAAGTAAACAACAAGTTGAATCACTGCAAAGTCAGATGGAAGAACAATTCGGTTCTGAAATCGTAGCCTTAAAAGCTAAGCTGGAAAATAAGTATGCCGAAGATGTGCAGAAAGTAGAGCTATTGTATGACAGCATGTTGTTGGAACAGATACGCAAGGGAGACGCACAGTTGAAAGCAGTTAAAGGTAGTACATCAGCAGAAAATAGATCTCACCTTGAGGACCAAGTGAGGTCTTTGCAGGAATTGTATGAGAAAGAGAAAAGTAAATACAACAAAGAATTGCAGATCTTACAATCAAAAAGCAAGAGAATCGAAGAAAGATTGACTTTTGAGCTTGAAAAATACAAACATGAAGCAGATCATTACCGACAGCAAGTAGAAAATCTCGAAAACAAAGTTGCTGAGGAGGTAAGAAAGATTCAACAAGAATGTTCTAAAGAAGTTAATAGGTTTGAATGTGAAATGAAACAAGATCAAAATAAATACGAGGCAGAAATATTACTGCTTGGTAAGCAGCTCAAGGATTATGCCATTAATGAAGGTGCCAAAGAAGCTGAAGTAGAATATTACAAAAATGAACTATTGAAATTGGAACGCCACACACGTTCTATTGAAGAAAAGTTTACCTGGACTGTGGATGATTTTGAAAAGGAGAGATCCCAATTGCAAGCTCAAATAATAGACTTTAAAAACAATGAATCTAAGCTAATGAATGAACTAAGAATAAGCAGATCTAAACTGCTTGAGTATGAAAATAAAGAGTACGAGTTTAATGAAAACTTGAAAGATCAAACAAGTAATTTTAATGAAAAATATCAAAGGGTGGTTCGTACATTTCAGGATCAGATACAAGATTTGATGAATGAATTGGAGCGGTCAAAAACTCATTATGAAGGGGAAAAAGTTCGGTTAAAATCAGTAATAAACGAGAAAGAAAACCAAATAAAAAATTTAGAAGCTAAGCTCAATATTTTGGAATCTAATAAAACCAAAGAGAATGATTTGATTACAGAATCGCACGGAGATCATGATTCAGTTCAGCAGCTAGTTGATGGCCTAAAAAATAAGTTAATGCTGGCTGAAAAATGTCAGAAATCAAATAATGAGCTTCTGGTGAAGTTTACGAATGAATTAAAACATGTAAAAACACTTATCAGTAAAATGGTACATGCAAGTAACGATACTGAAGATAGCCTTCAAAATGTTGATTGTTCTCTTCAAGTTACTGTGGGAGACACCCAGCATGAGGACCTTGTGCAAGAACTGGAACAGACGATATGTGATATTAAGAATATGACACAACATGTTGACCTCAGTGAAGTTTTACAACTAAGCAAAATGTCAAGTATTTACACTTCCACCCCAAGGATAAATGATAGTACTGAAATTGTTTCTGACGATCCAGGCAAAGATCCCGTCAGGACATGTGAATTATTAGAGGCTGAAAACATCAAATTGACTAAAAACGTGGAAATGCTTGCCACTCGTATTAAAGTAATGGAATATCTTTTTAGCACGGCAGCCAAAGAAAACCAAGCCTTTGATGAAAAATGTAATGACCTAAAAGTCAAAGTGTCTGAACTTGAAACATTAAAATTTTCTGATTTTGTGCTAAAAAAAGAAAATGATGAGCTAAAAGAGCGTCTGAAGCAACTTGAGTTATCAGAAGAAAATATCCGTAAAGAAATGGCCCAGTTAGTAGATAGTAACATTAAACTGGAAAAAACTTTGAATAAAAGTTTAGTGGACCTTCACGAAGAGGTTTCTAACAACGGACCCAACATAAGTTTACAAGCTCTTTTATCTGATTTAGAAGCCAAATCAGATGAAGTTGTGCATCTAAGATCTCAACTTAATGCCGTTCAAAATGCATTGAAGGATAATCAAGAAAAGACAATGCATTTGAAATCACAATGTGATAAGTTTAAGGCAGAACACGAGTTCATGATGTCCGAAATTAAAACCAAACAGCAAGAACTGGAAGAAATATGGAAAGAAAGGAACGAACTGTCAACTGAAAACAAAGTGCTACAATCAAAACTTGTATCAATTCAAGGGAAAAGTTCTTTGCAGATACATAAAATACCCAGTTCAATAAGATGTAGCAGCACAAGTATGCTTATACCAGATGGCTTTGTGGCAGACAAAGAATCAGAGACAATGAAGTTGCCGATATCTGAAACCGATGATGATTTCAACGACTTCCATTTGAAGAGGATCCAGACTATGCATTTACTGACAGAATCCATTGCCATGTCATCAAAAACTAGCCTGAGAGGTAGCTGCAGTAACTTGTCACTGTCAAGTCGTATAGATCAGTCGCTTCAGCAAATTGAAAATGTACGTATTGGATTTTTTTAAACCTCTTTATTGACCTAGATCTAATACGTTTAACATATTATGCCCACAGACCTAAATTAAAACCTTAAACCAAAGCCTTTTTGAATTTTACATTTAACTTTTAAATATTTAATCTTGTTTTTTTTGTCTTTTTGTAAACCAAGAAGTTTTTTTTCATCCTGCTAAGTATTAAATGTATGGCAATCTTTACAAAAGGTACCTACTAACACTAGGGATTTTTTTTGCATTTATTTATTAGTTTTTAATCCTCAAAATTCATCATGGAATGTACCTTGGTGTAGTACTGCTCATCTGTCGGAATTATTTCCATAGACAATATAAAATTATCTTTATCCAAAAATGCTAACATTATGAACAATCGAATATATGGATATTCTGATACTCTATTCCCATTATAGAGGAACAGGACAATACATCCATCTAAGATGTGAAAAACTTATAAAAGTGCCAGGAAGATTTCTAAAACTATTTTTTGATGTTAGAATAAATTAATACAAGGAAGCCTTCTTTGTCGGGTGACTGTAGGAAAAATAATTTGCATATCCTTTTTTTAAGACTCGTGTACAGAGCCTCGATTTGTATTACATCGATGGTTTACTTATCTCGTTTGTGTACTAATCTTACTCATTTCTTATAATCAATGACAAAATCAGAGTAAATAAAATAACCTCATAGTTCTATAGAGTATTTTTATATCCAACCAGCTGTTAGTTAAAACAAATTATATTGCACTAAAACAAACCGAAGATTACAAAGATTACTTTAAAAAAATAGTTTAAACATCCTAGTATTTTACTATGTATAGTTAATTAATATGTTATCCTGTTACCGAAGAATTGAACGTATCAATGATCAGCATTACACATAGTATAAATAAGTGAACCCTTAGTATGTCTTTTATCCAAAAGCTGAATTTGTGTCACAAACGCTGAATATTTACAGCTGTTATGTTAAGTAAATTATATCATACCAAAAGCTAGTTTAGAATGTTAGCGTCGGCTGCTAGACTTAAAAAAAAATTAAAACTTAATTTCTAAAAACCGTGACCCTAAACTAAAATTATGGCTTCGACATTCCCTAGTTCTCAAAATTATCTTTCTTTCAACACAAAAATCATGTAAATCCGTCGAGTGGTTGATTCAGAATCGTGAAATAAAAAAACCCAGTTACGTTTTAATATTATAGATTGCAATAATATGTTCTATTTCCTTCTTTGACGTTACTTCATGTAACAGTATATAATTAATATGCTACATGAAACTTTGTCGGTTTAACTAGTCCGCCATTTCTTAACCAATTTTATCCATTGGCGTCTCATTGGAAAGAGCGTGTCGCGTAGATTTGCAAACTGGCCTTACATTTTTGAAAAAGGTCCCTTGGGCTCTGCCCCAGTGGCTTTGAAAGCTCCCATGTTATTCTTATGAAGAACATTGTTTACATTTTGATCAGCTGTATAATTTAATTGCTGTTATTTATTTTTCAATTCAATGAAACGCATTGAGTACATTTATTTACTATTTGAGTTTGTGTAAACATAACCCCCAAGACGGATCGTGTTAGTATGGTTGTACATATCTTAAATTTGTGTATTTATCGTTGTTTTGTGTCGCTATGACGAATCATGTTAGCATGATTGTAACTTAAATTTGTGCATTTATCGTTGTTTTGTGTAGCTATAATTTGTTTATTTGTTGTTTTTTCCTTTTAAATGCCTCCGACGCGACGGCAACAAAACATAGACAGGAGGCGTAATTGTGATAACGACCGCAGCTACAGAACAGTGGTGCGTAATAGGCTTAACTCATCACAGTCAGCACCTGGCCCTGGACAATCTCAACTATTAGGTTACAAATGCGCCCTAACACTACCCAAAAACGACTTTTCGTTCTCAATTGGCCCTCTATCAATGACCTGTGTTGCCTGTAAAGCGAGGCATAATGAGAAGGAGAAAACTGGCCGGAATGCTTTAGGTTTATCAATAACGTAGATAAACATGGTCTGAGTTACACACCGGTAATCTTTGAGTTGACTCTTACAAATTCATTGTAAATATGACTGTTAAGCTTATTCGTTTTGAAATAACTCCTGTAATACTTTGCAATTGCTCGAATTCGAGCAACATGTACACTAGTACTTATTATTTTAAAAACATTTAAAGCACTTCTCTTTTATTCCTTCAGTGTTTATACTTTTACTTTTGTAATGACACAAGTTGTTTTGACTAAAGTGTGGGTTTCATAACCTCATGTGGAGCTTGCCCAAGGGATATTTAGCTTTTAGTGATTGAGATTTCAATAATAACTGCCAAATATTTTTATGTTAATACCTGTCTCTTTTTCAAGATGTTTGAGCCTGATCATGGATCTATGTCCACTATACTTGAAGAAGATGAAGAATTATCTGACGAGTTTCGTGTCTTCTGTGAACGGATGGCTCAGGGAGACCAGCAACTGACAGGAGAAGAGAAGGTGGATCTAAGAGACCTAATCAACAGTTGATCCTAACCTATCAAGACCACAGTTTTCCTTTTTATCACTCTACCATGTTGTAACCTGTCTTTGTCCAATACACACGTTTCCTATCCATGTCGTACTTTCCTTTAGTGCTGAATTAACTTTGTTGCATAACATATTACCTTTCATTAAGTTGAAAAAAATGGAAATAGATTTAAAAGTAATCTTACTCTATATTGCAGTGGATCATATACCATTATAGTTATTGTTGTTATACCTTGTTCACAATATTTAGGCAGTTTGAGGGAAAATTCCCCTAAAATTGCCTAAATATTGTGAACGAAGTATAGTGTAGTTGATTTAAAGATTTAAAATTAAGTGACACATAAATACTTTAACAAGCTCAGACTATCTATTAAATTGCAAACACAGATTTAATTCAGCACTTAAATGTAAAAATATAATAATCATGATAGTTATGAGTTTTATTCTGTTTTTTATGTTACTGCTGTTGTTGTACTGTTGTGTTTTGTTTGTTGCTGTCCATGCCAGTGGCAATTTTTACAGGAGGCATTGTACAGTGTACTCAAACGCTTTTAAGGACAGTGGTCTAAGACCATGTACTATGGATGTGAACTGTCCCTTCTGCACTGAATACTTACTCTAACCGCTAGACTTGTAACACACCATAGTGTTCATTAATATCAACACACCATGCTATTCTTATTAATAAACTATAAGTCAATAAGTTTTTCCTGGGCTAGTTTAACAGTATTTCAATTGGCAAAGCTGAAAAAATCAAACTCCTTGACACTATAAACAAAGAAAATCTAGTACTATATCAGTGGTGTAGTGGTAAACTTACCAGTGCAATAACGCTAACCATTGTAGAAAAGATTTGGTAGCCTATCTATATATAGGTTCTTCGGAAAAAGCAGAGTGGGAACGCTATTCCCATGTGTTCCTGCTCCACTACACCACTGAAGGAGACTAACAGGGCTGTGGAGATGGAGGGTAAAAGGATGTACAGTAGGGCTGCACTTAAGTTAACGTCCTACACTCATTCAAATGAAAAAATATCGATATATAGATGATTTGATATAACAATTATTTCATTTGGTTAGTTAGGTTAGGTTAACCTAACTAACCAAACTTGATATATAGAACGAAGTAATCGATATATTGATCGATATATTCGTTCGAATAAGCGTAGAACGTAAACTAAAGTGCAGCCGTACAGTAGAACTCCATCCGAACTCCGGATATAGAGAGGAAGGTTATTTTAACAAAAAGTAGCAAAACGGCCATTGGTGACCTACATGTTCATAGGATACACTAACTACCACTTAGCTAAAAGATTCGGCCAATCCGATGATTCGAGGTGTAGGCCTATGTCTAAACCAAGGATTATGAACACCTCACTATGCCCCAGTGGTTGTAGTATATCGCTACAAAGACAAACACACAGGTCACCAATTATTTGCCACACAGGACGGGAATTGACCCCAAGCAAATGAATGCCACTGGCCAAGTGACACAAGCCCTAGCCTTCTCGGCTATCTGTGCTTGGAGATTATGGAGTAAAAACTTGTATTTAAGCTGACGTCAACAATTGCTAACAGATAGCGCACCCGACGGCGCTACAACCTAGTTGCTCAATGCGTTACTAGGTAGCAGCACTAGTTAGTCTCGGACTATTTAGATGATATTTTTCAGCTGAACCACAACAGTGAGCATAAATGGTGTTACTGTGGCATTACTGACAAAAAGTTTTTTTCCCTAAAAAGTCTATATTATAATAACCTTATCAAACTAAACAAGGATAAATTCAATATGACGTTGCAAACTATATGTCTTTTGATTTTATGAGATTTTGGTTTCAAATAATGCTATCAGTATCAGAACATTCCAATTCATAAGAAAACTTGGAAATTTATAACAAAAAGACAGCTTTTTAAAATGTAATCTGCAAATGCCAAGAATTTTCTTTGTTATATATTTGTTACTGTCTTATAATTCCAAATTAGCCTGATTAATAAATTAGTGAAAACGATACAGTTACAATTCAAGAACAGGTAATGGAATTAAAAGGCAAACAAAAAAGTCTTACAAATACAAATTATAGGCCTAGCAGTCGAAGGGTTAAATAGTTTTAAAGGACTAACATTTTATAGTCTGTGTCTATACACCATTACAAAGAACAGATAAAGCTACTAGAGTACCTAACATAAAAGTTTGTGTGATGATAAAAAAACACCACATAGTTGAACTATTCATTGTGTTTTGGCCCGGCCCGTAATTTGTTGAATCTCATCTGCGAGCGCTAATCTCGGCCCGCCGACAGTGACATATTGGCTAAATTGACTTACGTTTTACACTGACAAGTTATCTGAGGTAATTATACAAAAGATTCGGGTTTGAGATTCCATTAACAAGATTCGAGAATCCAAATTGTTTTTTTTTTTATATAGAATTATAAGCCTTAGACTGTGACATTGCTTAACCATAGAGGTTATTAACGTCGTAATATACAGCACTGTGACATTGACTACCCATAGAGGTTATTGACGTCATAATATACAGTACCTACTCAAGTACTGTGACATTGCCTAACCATAGAGGTTATTGTCGTGGTGGTGGCTATTATAGTTCGGCCGCTTAGAAAACGACCTGCGCGCTAATGCTAAACCAATGCTGGAGGAGGTCGCTTTCTAAGCGGCCGAACTATAAGTGTTAAATGGTTCCTAGTCACTAACAAAACTACAAGATCACGCCACTCATCCTACACTCATCTCCATTCATACTTGGCTTAAAAATACCTACTTTGTTTGGTCACCATTTCATTGAAAAGTATAAAGTAAGCCTATCAAAAAATATAAAGTTATTGACGTTGTAAAGTACAGTACTGTGACATCGACTAACCAACCATAGAGGTTATTAGACATAGACATAGACATACTTTATTTACACAAAACATTCCATACATATCATAACATTTAGAATAGGTGCATTGTCAAAATTAAATGCATACATAAATATTTAACATTTAAACTTAACTTAAAATTAAACACTTAAAATGAAAAAAAAAATGTTCTGAATTGAAGTTCTGTAAAAATCGTCAATTGAGTAAAAATCCTTGTCAATAAGTAAATTATTTATTGTCTCTTTAAATTTGGTTTTGTTTAATGACTTATAGCATGGCGGAAGCATAGTGTACAATCTCAGCCCAGCATACAATGGAGATTTTTCATATAGGGTATTGTCGTGGTGGTGGTTTTAAGTGAAATGGTTCCTATTCCATTCTTGCTTTTTTAATCACCATAAGCCCATTTGTAATTATTTTTGGGACTCAAGATTCAATTTTTTTAGGATTCGGATTTGAAAGTCGAAGTTCCTGGATTCGACTATCACTACATCTTAATGTGTGTGCCCCGGCAGTGGGAAGGCCAACATTAAATAAATGGTGTCCATTTTGGGTAGAAATTAATGGCATTATTGACCTTCACATGGCATTATTGGCACCAGGTGCTACACTTGTCTTGCTTATTTTTACACTAGTATAGAGGAAAGGAGAAAAGACACAATTTTTTTTAATTTTGGCTAAACATGAACCTATGGTATTGGAGAACATATAAAACTGAAATAACCTGCAGAAAAAAATGGCATTAATATATTTAATACCCCTGCCGCAGCAAACCTGCAGACTAAGCGAATTTCCATTTGACTGATTGGATTTACACTGAAATGTCTACTTAAAAATATAACATTTATTCTTGATTTAAATAGAATTCAAGTACTTAGGTTTGCTGCATCAGGGAGGGTAAAACTGTTTTTTTTTTTTTGTAAAATGTGAATAGTTAGTAAGAAATAAAAACATTTTCCAAATTTGATTAAAAAAATTCACAAACAAGCAAACTACAACAGTTTACTTATTCTCCATAAGAATAACATGGGAATTTTAAATTTACAATCTTTTGGAATTTTCTCCGTAACCATTAGGCGCATAATAACGCTTCAATATACTAAATTATTTGTTTTTTTAAGCTCTACAAAATGGTTTGGAAAGAAATTGCTAAATTTTATGTTTTTGGGGTCAAAAATGGGAAAAACCTATTTTTACCCCATAAAACCCCCCGTAAACCCCCGTTCCCATGGTCCGATCATGCTGGATCGCGAACTCGTTGGAATAAACGTACGTTTACACGTTTGTACCAAATTTCATCAAAATCGGATCATTTTTGCTTGAGTTATCGTGCTGACGGACACACACATATATATATATATATATATATATATATATATATGAATTTGAACGGATGGTGTTTTTGGCCTCTAGGGACCTCAAAACGAAAAAAAAATCGGTCCCGCGTCCAGGTCTTACCATGAGTACTACGGTAATAGCTTATTCCCTATATGGGAAATTCGCTAATAACAAAATCACTAAAGAATGTCCACGTCATATACGTTAATTTAAACCAAACAATATCTTGTTTTGAAAATCATTGTTTTCTGTGTAAAATTACTGAAATAATACAAGTTCTGATCTTTTAAAGTGTTGTAATGGTATCACTGTTTTTGCTATCGTTTATAAGGGGTTGAATTAAGTCCTTGTTATTTTTCACAGGATAAAATTGGTGCATCTGATCAGGTTACTAAGAAACCTTATCAACTCTGGGCTGATGCTCTCAGGCAGCTTATCAAAGCGTTATTTTCTGAGTACACTTTCCGTGTTAAAGTAAGTATTACTTTTTATGCTAAAATAGAGTAAAAACTTTTTATGTCATTAGTTGTTCTTTTAATTTTGTTTGAATTTATAGGTTAAGCTTATCTTTGGTTCTGTAGAAGTGAACTTTTTCTAGATAAAGTGTAACAAAATGCAATTAACTCAGTAGTAATGGGGAAATTAAAAAATACATAGGACCTACATTTATAAAACAATTATAAACTTATTAAATCATCACACGATCAAACAATCTTAATTTGCTTAAGATTCTACCTATTTTGTTATTTCTATCAGTTTAATATTGTTTACATTTTCAGAAAATGCTCAGACCCTGGTTACAAGAAAATGAAACTCTGGATCTAGATTACCTTACTCAAGATGTTAGTCCAAGCAAGAAATGTTTGGAGGAAGTAAAAGATGACAAAAATTCTACATTCCCCAAGAGTTCTTCAGTAATAGAAGATTACAACATCTGTTCACAAGGTAAAGAAGTTGTTAGTTGTTATGCTAAAATGGTATTTACATTGGGTACTTTCCTGTTAAAGGGAACATTCATTATTATCGATGATTTTTTTCTCGATATATCGATGTTTTTGTTTTCCGATCCATTACAAATTGACAACAAGAAATGAAACTGTTCTAAGCTAACCTAACATAACCAACCATACTTGCTGTACCATTTAAAAATTCCCTTTGGGTTTGAATATAAAAGGCAAGTTTTAAACGCGGAATTTTTAAATGTTACAGCAAGTTTGGTTAGTTATGTTAGTGTTCTATTTCTAATACAAGAATATTAAACACACAACTTGTTTCAACAAACTCTATTTCCAACTAAACCAATGTTTACCAAAACATGTTTACAAAAATCATCTGCCAACAAAAGATATTTAAACACAAATAAATCATATGACTAAAAGAACATACTTAGCCTAATACAACATCCCGCCTCAAGATGTCTACATCTTCATGAAGCTCGGTACCACCTCGGTATCTTGATGGACCTTCCGTAATGGGTAACTGTGCCAGCGTCTGGACGATCACGTGAGTTAGATGGACAATTAAGGACCGTAGATGAACAGTTTGAAAGAATGCAATCTTCTCCGTAGTATGGTGCAGGAACTAAGAACTTCTGGTTTCGTCGAATGGTTTTCTTGTCAATGTCCACAAGGTAGGAACGTGGTTCGTTCAATACCCTGACTACTTTACCATGTCTACGTAGATCTGTGATCCATACCATGCTTCCCTCTTCTAATTCACTTAAACCCCTCGTTCCATGTCGTTTATCAAATTGCATCTTATACTTCGACTGGTACTTATTCTCCCTCTCAAAAAAGTCTTTATTTTCCACAGGATTTCCAACCAAAGTAGATGGAAGATTGTCTCTTATTTTCCCTCCAAACATAAGTTCTGGAATCAATGGTTCACTGTGATTAGTTGAGTTCTGAATACACACTGGACACGATTTGCTTTTTCTTTCTATTTCTTGAGAAATTCCAGGCCACCACATGGTTTCCAAAGCACGTTTCCTTGTTTTTGTGATTCCCAAGTGTCCACTGTGAAGCCTCTCAAGCATTTCCGCTCGTAGTTCATGAGGTATTATCATCCGAGTTCCTCGAAGCAATAACCCATCAATACAACTTAACTCGTCTTTCACGTTAAAGTATTCTTGAATCTCATTAGGTAAACTTGATTTTCCAGGCCATTCGTCTAAAATTTTTAGCTTGAGTTGTGCACATATTGGATCCCTCATTTGTGAGTGAAGTACTTTTGTCACATTTTCGTCTGTAGTGTTTATTCTAATCATACTGATTTCATGGACGAAGGCTTCCACTTCTTCTGTCAATTCGCCATCTTCATTAGCTGGAATAGGACATCTCGATAGCAGATCTGCTATGGCAAGGTCTTTTCTTGGGGTCCAGATCATGCGATAATCGTATCTCATCATACGCATTCGGAATCGCTGTAGCCTCGGTGAGAGCTCGTCCAAATTTTGTCTTTTGAAAATTGAGACAAGCGGTTTGTGGTCGCTCTCAATTGTGTACATTTTACCCATCAGGAAACATTTTAAACGGTCACTTGCCCAAGTGCACGCAAGCGCTTCTCTCTCAATGTTACTGTAGTTTTCTTCAACAGGCATTAGAGTCCGAGATATATATGCCACAGGTTTCTTGTTTTCTCCTTCAACTTGTAGTAAAACCGCTCCAAGACCTTTTTTTTGAAGCATCACAAGAAAGAATCGAGGGCTTTTCCGGATCGTAAACAGTTAAACATGGCTCTGATGATAAAATCTGTTTCACTGTGACAAAAGCTTTTTCCTGAGTTGGTCCCCAAAAGAAATTGTTTTTAGTCTTTAACAAGCTCGTAATTGGCTCTAAAATCTCACTGCAGTTCGGAATAAATTTAGCCAGAAAAGTGATCATGTCCATGAATCTCTGGACGTCTTTAGCATTACTTGGGGCTGGTAAGTCCACAACTGCTTGTACCTTGCTTGGATCAGGCTTGATTCCTTCCTTAGACAGCACAAATCCCAAAAATGTCACAGTCTTCTTGCAGAACTCAGACTTCTGCTTATTCAAAGTGATTCCATTAGCTTGCACTCTCTCTAGAACGGCTCTAAGACACTCGTCGTGTTCCTCTTTCGTTCTTCCCCATATCAAACAGTCATCAATGTGCACTAAACAGTTCTTTGCCCCTTCTAAAGCTTTCGACATACGGCGCTGAAACTCTTCATGAACAGATGTAATTCCAAAAGGTACCTTACAGAATTTATACCTCCCGAAAGGGGTGATAAATGTTGTGTAATCTTGAGACTCCTCTGCAAGGTTCAGTTGCCAGAAACCGGAATTCGCGTCGATCTTGCTGAAGTACTTGGCTCCCGCGATCTCGGACAACGAAAGTTCAATCTTTGGAATAGGATAAAACCGACGTTTCACACTGTTGTTGAGTTTGGATAGGTCCACGCAGATCGTAACCCCACCTCTCTTTTTTGGGCAAACTACCATTGGTGCGCACCAATCAGTCGCGTTTTCAACAGGGACAATCACTCCTTTATCAAGCATATTCTCTAACTGCTCTTTCACCTTGCTTTTTAAAGGTATTGGTACAACCCTGGGGGTAGATATAGCATAAGGAACTGCATTCTCCTTCATTTCTATCTTGTACTCTCCTTTCATATTTCCCAATCCTTGAAATAAATTAGGGTACTTAGTAACCCAGTCAATATCTGATGAATCTACAGAAAAGATCCTCTTCACCAGGTTCAGCTCTTCACAGGAACGTCTGCTAAGAAGTGGAACAGTGATCTCCTCAGAAATATACGCATGATCATAAACCGATACACCCTTATGTTCAAGCTTCAGCCTTAAAGTTCCCAAAATATTGATTCGTTCTTTCTTCTTTGCACTGTACACAGGGGATTTGCACTTTCCTAGAGGCAGAGTCTTAATAAAATCACCAAGAACTCCTACTGGAATCATGGTTACATCAGCGGTTGTGTCAAGTTTAAATTTTATAAGCCCTAACACTTGGTTTCCACAGCTTGCTTTTACCTCCTGGGCCCAGGCTGTGTCATTGTTTTCTATATTTCCGATGAAAATCTCAGGAACCTGTAGATCTCCACAGTCTGAAACTTGCTGTTCGATTTCTTTAACAACGTTTTTGTTTTTTCTCATCCACTTTTCGCGGTAGGGACAGCATCGAAAAAAATGTCCAATCTCGGAACATTTGTCACATTTGGCTTTCCTAGCAGGACATTCGGCCAGTGATCCGTGCCAATCATAACCACATTTCCTGCACTTCTTTGTATTTTCTGCATCCTCAATGTATTTCTGGTCACAAACTCCTTCTGTCCGATTCGGTTTACCGTTTTGAACTGACGTTTTATTTACCAAAAAAACATTAGTATTGGCAAGTTCACGTTTTTGGCGTTCTAGCTCCTCATGTTGGCGCAAGGTATTAATTGCTTTCTCCAGAGTCAATTGAGATTCCAACTGGAGTCTATCACTCAGACCCTCATCTTGCATACCAATAATGAGGACGAGAAGCATCATCTCATCATTTAGTTCACCCCATGCACACGTTTTCGCAAGGCCATGCAAATCTGTTATAAATTTTTCAGATGGATCACTCCCTTGCTTGTGTCTCAAAAATTTTGATCTCTCATAAATTATATTCCGTCTGGGCACAAAGTATTCATCAAAGGCCCTAAGAGCCTCGTCATAAGTATTAGGTTTTGGTGAAAACGAATCGAAAATATCTTCACTTCTACTACCCATTACAAACAAAAGTACATCGATTTGCCGATCGTCGGAAGTGCTATCCAGACCGCAACCCCGTCTGTACCTTTGAAAGCGATTCCTCCAGGAATGCCACTCATTCGGAGTAAAAGAGAACGTTTCTGGAGTTGGTAACGTGATATTGACCATCGGAGTAGGAGTATACATAACTGCATCATTTTCTCGGTTCGTATATCCCAATGCAAAACCTCGTGACTCATCTTTAGTCTTTCTAGAGTCCCTTTCTGAAACGTAGTTGAGTTCACTTTGGGCGTCGTCCTCACCGTTGTCCTCATACCTTTGCCTCCGAGTATTTCGTTTTTTTCTGCCCTTACTTGACATTATGCGTGGTTTTAGACTTTCAGTTCGATAAAAATCCACTAAGCTGCCACCATGTTCTATTTCTAATACAAGAATATTAAACACACATCTTGTTTCAACAAACTCTATTTCCAACTAAACCAATGTTTACCAAAACATGTTTACAAAAATCATCTGCCAACAAAAGATATTTAAACACAAATAAATCATATGACTAAAAGAACATACTTAGCCTAATACAACAGTTAGGTTATTTATTTTAGAACAGTTTCATTTCATTAATGTTTGTACTGAACAATATTTTTCGTCATTGTCAGCTGATATGTTTCAATTTGTTAATATCGATATATCGAGAAAAAAATCATCGATAATAATGAATGTTCCCTTTAACAGGAAAGTACCTTACATTGTTAAGACAATCTAGGATTTTTTTAACTTTCTTTTTGTTTCTCTGCCATTTGTCACCAGTCTGTAATTCATAACTGTGCTTTATATCAGGCACTTAAAGCTAGCATAGATTAAACAAACCCCCTTAGTAGATTCTGTCATCCTTTCAGTAGTGATATGGTGACATCAGCCCTTATAAAAAACATAATGTTACTAGACTTGGTTGTAGATTGCCCTCATCCAATATATGTAAAAAGTGACAATGTATATGAGCTTAGTACACAACAAATATCCCATTGGTCTGTATATAGTTTAAAATAAAAGTGGGGACCATATGTTTAAATTTGACCTTTCAGGAACCTAATGTCTGTGAGAAAAAGATTGTTTATATTTTGGTTTTGAATTGCTTTAGTTTATAAATTGAGTTATTATGCAATATTAGGTTTCTTAAAGTATATAAATTATCATGCTTTAACAAAAGCATAAGATTTTAAGTTCAAG